AGTCACCACTTATTTTACCCACGAACAGCGAGTACAATTGCCCTTGAGAAAGTATTTGTGAAGATTTCAGCAACTTGGATAAAGGTGATGCCAAACTTTCATAGAACATATGGTTATTTGCTTCAAAGCTGAAAATGGGAACGTTAAAAAAAACTCATGTATAAACTCTAAACGTCCTTTAGAAGACTATTTAGTTTCCTTATGGAACTAAATATTTATTTGTTGGGTAGTCACAGTGCTGTGTATAGGCCTAGAGTCGAATAAGGGAAATTTCACTTCTTAGTGTAAGATGAAAAAGTTGCGTGTGTGGTAATGTCTGTGCCAAACAAAACGACACTTGCAGATGTTCAAGTTTTTATGTTTTTCTCCTCCTACAAAAGTGGAAGTGCCCTTCCTTTACTTAGAACTGTGAAAGTAGAGCTGTGGTAAAACCGCCACCTTGCCACATGTAGCATGACCCTTTCTTACATGTTTAAAACCGTTTCCTGTTGCAAGCATCAACACTTGCATAACCTTTCCAGGTTTGTTGTTACAATGACAAGAACTGTAAGTTAACTAAAGGTCTTCACCTGCAGCTTTCTATTTTCCCCCTTTTCTCAAGCAGCGAATGTGCCCTTCAATTACGTTTTTCTGTGCCATCTGCAGCTGCAGGTGATAACAGTACAGACGTGGGAGGAGGGGACGAGCCAAGGCCAGTCCCATGAGAAATGAGACAGAAAAAAGAACCTCACAACAACAGAATCTGCACAACAGAAAAGTGAAATGTTAGCATCACAAATGTTTTAAAGCCTCATAATCTGAACTGTTCTGTTATCCTACCAAGGGCAAAGCCGTCAATGTGACAACAACTGCACAAACAAAAAGACTGTGTGAGTGTGTGTGTGTGTGTGTGTGTGTTGTGTGTGTGAGTGTGCGTGCGTGCTCAGCAAGGTAATGTGACTCAGAGTTACAGCTTCAGGCCCCAGGAGTCAAACCTTTTCCACTAAGAATTTTAATGATATGAAATTACAACTTTCAATTCATAAAGAGCTGCTGACTTGAAACATGATCACATTTCTTCGCTGATCTCAGTTACCGCCAACCATAAAGGTGAAGAGGGGGAAAAGCCCGATGTCTTCTAGAGACAACTTTTAAAGACAACATTTTTATAACTGTTAGGGATACTTAGGAAAAATGTAGACCCAAGAAGGATATTAGAAAAACTCGCTTTGTATTTTTATACTGACCAACCAATGCAGTTCCCTGAGGTCCAGTGACCAAAGCCTTCTGGTTTAGCAGCGCACCAGGCTAAAGACCAAAGGTGACAGATCATTTTGTGGCCCCCAGACTCTGGAACTCACTCCCCCTGAGCCTGGGATCAGTGGACTCAGGGGTCTCATTTAAAAGCAGCTGAAAACTCACCTGTTCAAGCTGGCTTTAGCATGACCTTTGTCACCACGCTCTCCTTATTCTGCTCTTTCTACGTATTCTGCCTTTTCTGGGATCCACCGATTTCCCTCTTTCCTATTCATTTTCTCTTTTCCTTTCCTTACATTTTTAATCACAATTTTTTTTATTTTAAGCGCATTTTAAATCTTTTTTTTTATTTGTTTTATATTTTAATTTTTTTGTCTTTGTGAAGCACCTCATGATTTTTATCTTGAGAGGTGCTATATAAAAGATCGTTTTCTTTCTTTCAATGTCAGGGTGTGTAAATTATGGCAACAATTCACCGTTTTATTCACAATATTAACATTTAACTCATTGTATTCCCTAAAGGAATCTACTGTACTTTAAAGGTGCGGTTCACTGAAAGAACATTTTTTTATTCATATTTCTGATAATAGTCGGTCACTGAGTTTTTCATGCAGGGTGAACATGAAAATAGTCTCCTACACCTATCTCCTGCATTAGCTTCTGATACAAAATTGATGATTAAATTCTAGGATTAGAAAAGCCTGACAGATCTATGTCACAATGTCATTTAACATTTACGGACTCACCCATCTTGACTCACGACGAGTAAGGCTGTTATTGGTTTAGCTTACAGGAAACAGCAGAGAACATTTTGGCTAGTAGAAGCTAACAGTTAGCATTAGCAACTCCACCACATGGCAAACCTTCTCCAGGATTGTGTTACTTGCAGAGGTAAAACATCAACATTGCAAATTAAATAAGAGTCAGTGGTAGTGTTGTGTTTCTCCCTGCCATCTGAAGCTTTTCTCTGATCTGGCAATTTTCTAGATCCTGAAAAAGGCACACAAGGGCTTTTGTACCCATAGTACAACTTACAAGGCATTCATTCCTACTAGAGACCACTGCAAATGTATTAAAAGAGTGAACCAAACCTTTAAAGTGACACAGGGAAGAAAAAAATATCCAAAGGTCAAGATAGCCATCCAAAAAGGGTATTTAAAATAGCAACCATAAGTTTTAGTGGAAGTACTGGCAAGCAAAACCCTCATACTAAGATTAGGGTCTCACTTTGTTAGCAAAATACTTTTACTTTGAAACTTTTGGAAAAGCTAATGCAACTGGAACTGAAATATTATCATATTGTTGTAATTACACTAAAATTTTAAATACTTAAGGGACAATGCATAGTTTTTACCATTAATCAATATTATGTCCAGTTGTTGAAAATATTGGCGTCTTTGTAACATATAACCATAAAAATTGGGTCTAAAATACACGAAAGCAGGTCTATGTCTGGGTACTGCCATATTAGATGCAATGTTTCCTTCTACAGGAGCCTGTGAGGACAAAATGCATTTACTGATTTGTAACAAACAGTTACAAAACATGTGGCATTCATAAACGTTGCTGTTTTACACATTTACCAATTTGCTTATTGCCAGTGATGAAAGGGAGCCTGATGTGCTTGTCATTTTGCAGGAGGTTTCACTCCCAAAGATTTTTGACCCTAATGGCCGTCCGTTGGTAAGGTCTTACTCAAACACAAAAGCACTGCTTGCTTGCAATGCCACAGTTAGGTACTGCCCCTTATCACCAGGGAAAATATACACATCGTCACTTTAATCTCTCAGCTTAACAGAGTTAGCTTTAGTTGTTAGCTTTTACACTTAATACTTCTAAAATATTCTCCACCAGAGATTGAAATCTTCAACCAGCATGTTGAAGCATGTGGGTGTCTAAAAAGGCTGAGCTAACGCTTATCCTGGCATAAACAGCATGTTTTGTGGCTGTCTCACTAAAAACAAGCCGTTTGTTTTTCCATGTCAGACTATTTTTGAATAAGTTGTCAGGAATTATGGCAAACTTTGCGAGTACACATCCTCTACTTAATCACTCCAGACGTAGTGTTTTAACACTGAGGGTGTGACATGAAGAATGAGCTACAAGAGTAGTCTGTCTAACTGGAAAGACCAGTGGGTGTTACAAAAATGTGTTTGTGCATCTGAGGATGTTTTTATTTTACAGTAAACTTCATACATAACATATCCAAGCAAAGGTGACCTTCACATTACATGAGGGATTTGAATCATATGACTTATTTTTATAATATTCTTGTGGTATTGATGTTTAAATAAAAACAAATACATACTGTTCGTTCTAGTTTGGTAACTTATCTCCAGCATAACAACCCTGCACACTGAGTTTTAGATTAGTATCCTGATAAGTTGAAAACATGATTATCTGCCTCTCTGACAAGTGCTAAAAACATTGCAGAACTTCAGCATTCTTTGAGTTTCATCTCCTGTTGAAAGTGTTGGTGCAGCCAGTGAATTTAAAACCACCTCCACACTATTTCCCCAAACATCCTCATCCTTGGAACAGGCCGGTTAAGCTATTGCTTCATATGTGAAATGAAACATTATTTGTCCACTACAAGAACTCAAAATATGAGGAAAGTTGTCGTGACACGACAAATCTCCAGTTGAGATGGCAACCAAAGAGGGAGCAGAAAGGTGAAAAAGACTGACCTTAGTACATGCTACTAAGTGAGTTGAATACACTAACATGTTCAGAAAGTTATGAAGCTACCACAAATACCTGAAGCCTTGCGGTCTGTGACTAGTCTACAGGGCAAAGTGGCAAGGACAGAAATAGCAGATGGTTACATACAGATTAGCCAAATCCCGCCATAAAAATAAGGCTCATTTATTACTTTTTAACTAAATAAGAAAGTGCTAGGAATTTTGCTTAGTAAATTCCAAGCTGTCCCAAATATTATGTTTTAATCGTGTTTCTGTTCCACTATGTTGTGTAGAGAAGCTCACATCTTTCTCAACGCTTTGGCCAAAGACTGAGCAGCATATTGTAATAAGATAAGAGCAGACAGGTGGCCAAGTGATCAGGTGCCAGACTGCCTACCTACTTTAGATATGAGCTGCAGCCTGTTGCGTGCGCATTACCAGCATCATCATTTCTCTCCTAACACGGCTCTAAGTACAGATGTGAGAAAACCGCATTCCCCTGATTCCAAGCGTTATTCGTTTTTGCAAACAATAAAAATAGAAAACAGAACAATCGGGACTTTCAGTCAGTAACACCTGGCACTAGCCAAATAGTCAAACCCCGGCTAATATTTCCTGCTCCACCAGCCCGGATACGTGATAAACAGAATGTTATTCATGCTAAACTAAACATGATATTTTTTTATTTATCCTGTGTTTAATAGAGTTGCCCTTTATATAGTGACATGGTACACCTGTATACATATTTACTGCCTTTGTTTACACACCATCTACCATGAGTCAGCAATTACAATTAAAATCACTTCATGAAACAGCCTAAAAGAGTTCTTACCTTGCAGTTGTTTAAATCGTCCTTCCAGGATATTAGAGTATTGTACCTGGTTAACAAATGCTGCTGGGGACAAGCAGGGCTCTCGGTCCCTGTGGTCCCACTCCATTGTAGTTTTCCTAGACCCGTTAAGTAAATTATTACTATCCAAAAGTGAAGTTTTCCTACATAGCACGGCTGATGAAATCTCTACGATGAATAAAATCCTTAGAAGGGATCCGGAGAAGTCAAGTTTTGTATATCCACAATTCTTTGGTTTATCCTCCTTTTGGGTTTCCTGCTGTTCCTCGGTATAAGGCACACCACAAGCCTCAGAGCTCCAGTCCTCTCTTCATCCACTCAACGTACCATCTCATTCAATGAAATGGGGTAAGAGTGGAAAAGTTTTTCTAGTTTTTAAATCAAAGTACTTTCAAGTGAAAAAAAAGTTCTTCTTTTTACTTCATTTGACCACACTTGAGGCCCTTGAGTGGAGTAAAAGTCTTTAGTTGCACTCCCTTGTGGTTTTGGCAAAAGGAACATTGAATATTTCTTCCCTCCAAATTCTGAGCATGCATTTGCTGAAGCACAGCACTGCAGAGCAAGCTAACCGGCCGCGGTCGGATAGCTGTGTAAACAAAGCCTTCTGTGCAGTCTGAAAATCATGTCATTTGCATAAGGTGTGTTTGAGGGAGGAGCACGAAGAACATGGTGGATGGGTGAGGGAAGGGAGGAGCTGTAGAGATGGACTAAACCATTACGGTCTCTTGAACAGTGTACCTTGTAGGGGATTATCCAACTCCAACTTAATTCTAGTAAACAGGGTGTTGTCTTCTCTAGAGGATGCCTCACAGAAATTCCCATCACTTTGCACAATGTTATCTCCAGGTGCTTATCTTCTTTTTCTCCCTTTGTAGAGAATGCTTTTACAGTTGTATGAGAGGCACTGAGACAGGAAGGAAGTTATTGAGAAAGTAGAAATGAGAACTTTCCAGCCTGGCGTTATTTTAAACAGACAGCTCAATTTTTGCAAAGTTTGGTAGAGGTGAAGATGAGTGAAACAATTATTTATTGTAAAACATTTTATGTCTAAATAAACTAACATTTAAGGAAGGCAGAAACTTTGCAAAAAATAAACAAAAAAAGCAATTCAGCGAGATGTTTGTTTATTCTGCAGACGCTTTAATCCAAAGCAAACTACAACTGTGACCTTAATATTTGGTCTACAGAAGAAACAGGGGAACCTAGAGCAAACTGACACATTCATGCTAACTCCAAGCAGCAAGGCCCCAGCTGGGATTTGAACCTACAGCCTTCTTGCTGTGAGGCAACAGTGCCACCACGCAGCCCAAGTTACTGTTCTAGTGTAAGTTCCAACTTTAAAAAGCAGGGGACTTATTCTACATGTATTATCATTAGTTACTGATTAACAGACGTCTGTGTTAGAAATACTGATGACTACAAGCACTAAAGGCTAAGGTCACAGCCTCTCTTTTAAGCAGACGGCTTTTGGATCTGGTCAGGAGCCAGGGTAAAAGTCTCAGAGTTGTGTTTGTTCATATGAGCTGGCAGCAGCTGGATGGGTCTCATCAAAGGTCCGGACGCTCCAGGCCTTTTGTGACAGGGCGTTTAAAGAGGGATGAGGGACTAATGAGAACTGAAGGTGACGGACTTCCTGCTCTGGAACAGGAGCTATGACATGGATGCACGCAGTGAAAAAAAAACAGTAAATCACAGTAATTCCCACTTGGTGTCCCACTGGAGATGAATCGAACACAATTTCCCGTTGAACGCAGACGAGACAGCTGGTCTCTCTGCCATATGCTTCATTACATATTAGGTTAGGTGCTAGAGGTAGGAAACTAACCTCTCAGTCATTTCAGTACAAAGCTAAATGACAACAACAAGCAAGATTAACAAAAACTTGGTGGAAACAAAAAATGTCGTCAAGTGAATCATCATAAATGACTTTTGTGCTGAGAAAACGGGACTTAATGATGACTGTGTGGTAAATGAACCCGGATTAGGAAGAGAAGAGATAAAGAACATAACTGGGGGAGGGGAACACTGTCAGAGGCTAAATGTGTGTTGCTAAGCTTGTGCTTTTTGTCAATAACGTAACAGAGCCCCTACTAAGGCCTCAGGGAGGCAGGACGTTGCTTCAAAATGCAAATGATTGAAGCTTGCTGCACTCGACACAGGAGGGCTGATAAGCTGCTATCGATTCAAATTAAAGAGAGTCTCTCAATCAAGTTGGCCCAACAGCCGTCACATGTAACATGAAATTTAACACGTGATACACGCAGGAGATAACTTGTTTTTATTTTACAGTAAAAAGCAAAGGTAGAGATGAAACGACAAAAGCCAATAAGTATGCAGGTGCCTTGATATTTGGGGAGAAGTTGCAAAAAAAAAAAAAGCGTGGGCAGGAACTGAGCCTTTGGGGTATTGCTGCTGCAGCATGTGAAAGAATGTGCACATCAAGTCTCCACTTGTTAACCTGAGAGGGCATTACAAGCATTCACAGTATAGTGTTCAGGCACACCAGGAAGTCTCGTGAAAATGGTGTCAGAATGTGCATTGCAGAAAAATCAACATAAACCTTTACAGATGTTTTTAATTCTGACATTTATGAAGTATAATAAAAGGGCTATTAAATAAAGGGTAACCCTCACACATGGGTTCAATTTGTAAGTGAAATTAGGTTCATCTTTAAATGTTGAGCAGAACTGAAGTAGAGAACAAAGATGATCACTATTTATGGATTTTTCTCTTCATGTTTCTGCTTCTGGAGTGCCTCAATGTTGCCCCCTCTGCTGGGCTCTTTAGGAAACTGCAACTTTCTTTACCATTACAGAGTTTCAACAATAATCTTCCATTTAATGGAAATGGAACAATTCAGAAGTCATCAGCATATTCTTATACCATTACCTAAAATCATACAGACGAGCGTTTATCGTAAAGATGCCAGGACTATTGGGATTAGACCAGCAAGGTAAAGAGAAATCAGAATGTTAGTCTCATGTTTGTTAGAGCAATATTAGCCATTACATCCATCCTAAAGCAGTGCATGTTGGTTTCACAGCTACTAGTTATGAAAACAGGTAAATCTGACTAAAGTTGCTCCTTTGTGGACACAGCTGCCCAGCGTTGTCCTCCTTTTGGAGGTATTTTGGTCTTGCCCTACTAAAAGAGTCTTGTGCCTGTTGGGACACAAAAGAATCACATCTGTTCCCCTGTCTGCAGACACTAATTAGATTTTTGCACATTGGTGGTTGATCTGTATTCTTGTTCCTACTGCTTCCAAAACCCCTGCTGCAGCTATAGCTAACAGTTTATATAATAATTTTTACTCTAACTCAGATTATTACAGTTAATAAATAAATCAGTACAACTAAACTCAGAAACCTAAGTGGAGCACAACTAGAGAAGTCCCGATCCGATCACATGATCGGAAATCGGCTCCGATCACGTGGTTTCAGACTGATCGGGACTCGGGCTTTACTTCCCGATCCGGACTCGGATACTGGGTTCAAATTACAGGAGAGCAACTTGGTTCTCCTTAAATGTTGTCAGGCTCCTCTGATGCCCTTAACTTACACAACCAGAAGGAGCACAAAAAGATCCAGTTTCTACCCATATTATATTATTTATATGGACTCAGAGTAGCGGGGATTCTTTTGGGCAGAGATGCAGAGAGGCAGGCAGACCGCTGATTATTCATGAACTCCAGCTGCGTTCTGCACACGGCCACAGTAACATTTTCTAAGTTTCTAAGTGGCGTCACCAAAAATATATAATTAACACACAGTCATTTGTGTCCATTCGTTTTCTCTCTGGTAAGTTCTGTCTGTATTTGAGCATGACGTGTGGACGCGCTCGCACTGCAGCGCTCGTCACTGGCGTAGCCGTGCAGCGTGGCGCACACTCCGCTTTTTTGCGGTCAATAGATCAATTTGATCTGCTAGTTAAAAAGCGACTTGTGAGGTGAAAAAGAAGGAAGCAGGCAGGAGTTTTTCTGGTGGACTGGGAGATGCAGGAAGATCAGAGACAGACAGGACAGGAAGTTAGGAAAATAAAAACCAAGAAAACAAAACAAAGTTCTTAAAAAAATAAAATGTAGGTAGATTGATCTCACTACACGTTTGTACCTGTATAAAGCAATAAATTATCAGCATGTAGTATTTATATAGTTGATACAATTCAGATCATCTTCAAAACTCCGTCCCATGCCCAGGGACGTATCTAAGCATTTTGGGGGCCGAGGCAAAATAGACCCCTGCCAGGTATTTTAAGCTGAAGTGCCATCTGTTTTTATGTTAGACTTTTTATATTTGCAATAAAGTCCAAAAGTGAAGAATTTATGTTATTTATTACTTGATTGTTCAAGCTACCTCACAGAAGTGATCTGTTGTTAAAAAATAAAATAAAACGGTAATTAAATTAAAAAAGAAGGAACATTCTGGAACTGTTTTTTCCTTTTCTTATTTTTTTTAATGTATCAAAAGTATCGGATCGGGACTCGGTATCGGCAGATTCTCAAAATCAAATGACTCGTACTCGAGGGCAAAAAAACCTGATCGGGACATCTCTAAGCACAACAAACAGCTTGTCGTTTTAAAACATAAATGATATTTTTCCAAGTTTGATTGTCCAATGTTAAATGAATGGTACTGATGGTGTGTGAGGGCATCTCCTATCTCCTGACCACCTCACTGCATAAAAGGATGGAATATTCAACACAGCAACAATGAGATTTGCTTCACTCAGCGTGTGTCATTAAAGAGCAAGTCACCCCCTACAAGAAACTTACTTCACTCCCTCTTCATGTTTGAAAAATGCAACAAATGCTGTTGCCTAGCAGACCGAGAGGGCAGAGCCACTAACAAATACACACACATGTACCAGTTTACATCATAGCATACCTCTTAGCCAATAGCGGTGGCAGATTTAAATTCAAATACAGTGCAGAGTTTTTACCTGACAACGGCGCAACACTGACAGTTTTAGGCAGAATATTTAAATTTTAACTAAGATGCACTGAAGTACCAAATTATTGACTACACGTGTCTGCAGCACAATTAGACACACATTTATAAAGTTTATCAGCAAAAAAAAGTTGATTTGGGGGTGACTTGCTCTTTAAACTCTTCCTCCTAATGACTTCTACACCAGCACCTTTTTGAAATGTGGTCATTTACCTAAAAATCTAACTTATAGGGAATTTTGAAGATTCGTCAGTATAAAATCTGAAATGAACTGAATGAATGTTTTCCAACCTACGAGAAATAAGACTTTATATACACTTTTCAGGTTTTTTGAAAGTCAAATGACATCTTATGCAAGCAGTTACATACTGGTCTGTGAGAACATGACCTGTGGAGCATTCCATAAAACCAGCATCACAACATAACAAGAATGTGGATTTTAGATTTGCAGTGTACCTTCGCATGTGTTCAAAAACAAAATTTTAAGATTAGGCACACCACACCCCTACACACACAGCAGATAAGCTGTTTAGGAGAGGTCTATGGAACGCAACATTGACCAGTCTCCAATTACCGTGGATGCCAATCTGATGGGACCTGAACACATTCATCCAACAACTCTGACAAAATTTCACAGATGTTCTTTGTTTGAGTCTTGACAAATCAGTTTTGTTTGCCAAAGTGAGGTAATGATGAAACGTGGCATACCTGCAAGAGCTTTAATGCGAGAGCGTTCAAAGAGACGTGCTGAGCTGTTCTCATTATCCCAGTCAGTCTCTGCTGCCAGGTCCCAGCGGTTATTGATGTCATTGTACTGCTGCTGGATCTCCAAGCTGTCAAAGTCCGTTGGTGAGATTGTGCTCATGGTGTCAAGGCTTGTGGAAAACACATTCAACCTAAAAAGTAGAGACAAAAAACCCAAATCTGTCAGTGATCGCAGACAGATACTTCACAATACAAGATGGTTCATGAGACAGACCCTTGAAATGTTTGATTTGAACTATTCTTTAAAATTTGTATTTCTCTGTGGCATCTGTAAGAACAGAGGTACAACAATATACATCATGTACACTCTTCACATCACCTCTAACTTGCACTTTATCTTGTATGACAGTTAAATGCAAAATGAGGCTTGGACATCGCAACGGTCGGTGCGCGTAAAAGGCACAAGCTTACAGATAAGTCAGGCAAATGCCACTAAGCAGTCACCTAACCATTTCATTTAACTGCTCCAGTGAAGCTGCATGTCAGTGATGTTAGCGTTTATTATGGGTGTTCTTTGTGGGACAGCAGCAGCTTGTGACCATAGGATCTCACACAACATTGGGCACTTAACTATTTACACCTATGTCAAGCATCTGAACTCCACACAGAAAATTTGTTTATAATTGATTTTATAATGTGTTTGTAAGAGGACTGAAAGACTACAGGGTAGATATACTAAACAATTATGCTAGAGGCAAAAGTAGCATGCCATCAGAGAATCATATTACGTAAAAGAGGAATCCGATTTCCTGTTCTTTTCTTCCAGACTGGGGTGTGTGTTGGAAAGGATCTGGTGAAAACACATACCGCAATACAGGTGAGATAACTTTTTGAATATATCTAAAAGTTAAAGACAGACAATAACTTCAATATTAATGACTGAATGGAGGAATGATGGAAAACTCAGGCCAGACACTTCCAAGACA